GGTATTAGAATGGTGGTGAGAGAGAACCGTGCTTTACCTCCACATAGGAACACTTCCTGAAACAGATGAAATGTGACTAAAGTCTCCTTAATGGAAAAGGCTGAAAATAATCTTCATCAGTAGGGTTCAGGGTGTGATAATTCAGAGAGGAAGGAATGAGTAGACTTACCTACCATCGAACTCACCTTCTGTCTTGAAATGCCTTCCTCATTTGGCTTTTATGATATGAATCTGCCCTGGTTCTTTGCTTATTTCTCTGTCGTATGCCTCTCTCTCTCTCTCTCTCTCTCTCTCTCTCTCTCTCTCTCTCTCTCTCTCTCTCTCTCTCTCTCTCTCTCTCTCTCTCTTTCCCTTGGAGGCTTAACTTTATCCCAGATTTTATTCTTGCTTTCTTCTCTTTTTTTCCAGCCAGTATCAGGGTATCTGGTGGCACAGCCTAGAGTAAGGATAACCAGGATTAAGGAAAAATCATTCTCAAGTGTGGCTGGCAGTTGGGAAAAGGCCTCAGATATGGTTAATAGAAGAAAGTCTAAGCAGGTAGATGGAGTAGCAGGCGTTACTGAGAGCAGATAACAACAATAATAATGATCATTTATGAGGCGATTTGAAGTTTGCAAAGCACTTCATATATGCTCTCTCATTTGGTTTTTACAATATCCCTATGAGTTAGGTGCTGTTATTACTCCCATTTTATGGATGAGGAAACTGAGGATAATGAGGCAAGAAATAAAGAGACTTGGCCAGGGTCATATATCTAGTATGACACTTGTCTGAGACAGATCTTCACACTCCAAATCCAGCACTCTAGCCAGGCACCACCTAGCTACCTCAAATAAAAAGGAAAGGTCCAAATGGTGGGAGGAAGAAAGAAAGAAATTTGGATATAGTAGAAATAGAACTGAATTGAGACAGTAAAACTAGATTCAAAGCCAGCCTCTGACTCTGGATAATGTACTAGGGCATGGTCAGAGAAACCTGAGTTTGAATTCTAACTCACACACTATGTAGCCCTGAGAGAAGGCCACATATCATCCCCCAGCTTCAGTTTCCTCATCTATAAAATGGGAATTATAATAATTGTAGCAATCCAATGAAATGATGCATATCAACAGCTTTGTAAACCTTTAGGCCCTGGATAGCTACCATAATTGTTATTGTCACTTATGAGATCTTGACCGAATCATTTAAAGCACCTGGGCTTCAGTTTCTTCATCTTTAAAATGGACTAAATGACCCCTGAGGTCACTTTTAGATATAGACATTATATACGTATTATATACATGTGTATATTATATAAATGTATGTGTATGGATATGTGCATCTATGTTTATGGGCACATATTTATGCATACACTATGTACATGTATATGTACCCACATTGTGTATTCATTATATACATCTACCTGTAAATGTGTGCGCATACTGATATGTACATGTATACTGTGGCATTGCATTGCATATACATGTACCAATGTATGTAACATATATGCATATTTGTGTATGCATGCACTTAAATATACTCCTATTAACATTAAACTGGATTTTAATTCAAGAAACTGTTTAAACCTTCCTTTGATACTTATTACATATTATACGTATGGCCTTGGGTGAGTCACAACAGCTCCTTTCACTCTCCTTACATATAAGAAGGGGATAATTCTTAGTCTACCTGCCGCATAGGGTAGTTGGAAGAAAAAAGCACTTTATAATCTTTAAAGCCTCATGGAGCCATGACATCCTATGCTTATTAAAGCCCCATAGAGATATGATGTGGGCAACTAAGTGGTGCAGTGGATAGCTGCTGGGCCCAGAGTGAGGAAAACTCATCTTTCTGAGTTCAAATCTGGTCTCAGACACTTACTAGCTGTGTGACCCTAAGCAAGTCACTTAACCCTGTTTGCCTCAATTTCCTCATCTGTAAAATGAGCTGGAGAAGGAAATGGCCAACTACTCCAGTATCTTTGCCAAGAAAACCCCAAATGGGGTCAACAAGAGTCAGACATGACTGAAACCAACTGAACAACAAGAAGAGATATGAAATCCCCTATTTTAAGAATGCAGGCCCAGGAAGGAAGATTAGCATCGAGTTACCTGAACTTCCACACAAGTTGGGGCAGTGATTTAGTCACGAAGAACAAGGGAAGAGCCCACTTAAGGAGTAATGTTCAATGGCTGCCCTCACCAGATCTGCGATTTCATCAGTGCAAATACTCCTTCAGGTAGGACAGATCATAGACAGTCTATGTGCGCTCTTCCTCTACAACTCTTACTGATGTCAATCACTTAACCTGTCGATCAGCTTGCTATATACTGGCTACTGCGGCAAGTGCTCTGAATACAAAGAGAAAAATGAAATAATCTAAGGGGCTAAAAGGAGGAGAGAGACAACACACAAATGCATGCATGAATACATACAGACTTATCTACATATTATGTACAGATGCCTATATATGCGCACGCTTATCTATGCACAATATACTACATGTGTATGTGTGCACACATACGTATATGAGTATACATGTATGCAATACGTATATAGATATAAGCCATTTTTCCCATGAATTCTCCATAGATGACCTACCCAATGTGCTATAGGCTTACTAAGATTTTCAGCATTTCAAGGGTTTTAGTACAATGCTCATTCCACAGCCCTATAACTCCCTAAGTGACTAGTGCAGCTCATGTTTCTAACAATATATTTCTTTTCTTTTCTTTTCTTTCCTTTTCTTTTCTTTTCTTTTCTTTTTTTTTTTTTTTTTTTTTTGGCAAGGCAATGGGGTTACGTGACTTGCCCAAGCTCACACAGCTAGTAAATGTTATGTGTCCGAGGCTGGATTTGAACTTAGGTCTTCCTGCATCCAGGGCCGGTTCTCTATCAACTGTGCCACTTAGGTGCCTCATGATATATTTCTTGTATGAAATATTTTATGCTACTTCTTGTGAGCAAATGAACGTTAAATGTACTATAGTCTACTTATACTCATGAGGCAATCCAATGTCCTTTGTTTCATCTGTAATTTTGATTCTTAGACTTGGTGGTACTTCATGACAAATTTTTCTTGAGCCCTAACCCAGAGGGAAAATGGTATTGATTCTCCTCTGTCTCTCTGTCTGTCTGTATGTCTCTCTCTCTCTCTCTCTCTCTCTCTCTCTCTCTCTCTCTCTCTCTCTCTCTCTGTCTGTCTCTCTCTTTCTTTTAGCTTAGAGCTAAAGAACAAAATTTCAAATCTAGTTTAGTTCTGCCTTTGACATAGGATAAAACAAGCATTTCCATGACATAGTATAATAAAAGGTTATTTTATAAGTGCATTTTTATTTGTTTATGATAAGTTTATTTTTAAATGTTATATCAAGCCATAAGATTCTCTCTTGATTTGATGCTACCTACAGGTAGGAGACAGTCTGGAACTTTTTGGACAAAGGCTCAAATGTCCTCCTTTCTGTATCTCTATTATTGTTTGTTTCACTTGTGCTCGACTCCTCATAATCCCTTTGTTTTTTGTTTGTTTTTTGGCGAACATATGGGGGAGGTTTGCCATTTCCTACTCCAGCTCATTTTACAGATGAGGAAACTGAGGCAAACAGACTTGCCAGGGTCACACAGCTACTAAGTGTCTGAGGTTGGATTTGAAATCAGATCTCCCTTACTCCAGGCCGGGTGTTCTTTCCACTGCACTACCCTCTCTATACATCAACATGAAACACTTTTCTTCTCCATTTCAGGCTCCCCTGTTCACAAAGAAGGAAACACACAGTATGAAAGAAATTAGGATCTATATGCTATATCAAATTGGCCCATCTGCTCCAGTGGACAAAGGTCCGGTCACCCCAGTAGATTCAGGGCTTGCTCACTACCCACATCCTTTACATTCAGTCTCCTTCCAAGACTTTTTCTGCCCCATTGAGCCATATGTGCCTGTCTTGACAGTCGACCCAAAACACAAATAAAACTGACAATGAAACACAGCTCCAAAGGCTGCATCATCTCTTAGTTCAAACTCCTAGGGTGATGCTCTTTAACTCCCATTCACATTTCTAGCATGGTGGAAATCTATCCAACTACTGGGCCTTCTCAGTTCGCTGGGTTCAGAGTTCCTCCCCCAGTATCCCAAGACAAACGAGTGTTTCCATTCAAAACCACAGAATGTCAAATCTCATCATTCTCTTTCTCTGGGTCACTGGGATATCACTGGTTACATGGATATTAATCCTTCATCCACTGAGACCAATACAATAGGTGTGACGAAGTCATGAGGAGTTTCCCACTATTGATAAACTTCTATGTGGCTGAGAATTCAGGCAGTGGGTGAAGTGTTGCTCTTCTCCTTTTTTCTCTCTCCCTTTCTATCCAAAAGGACAGATGTTTAAATCCAGTTTTCTGTTCTTTAAAGTTGTTTATGTTATATTTTAATTAGTATTAAAGTGCCACTCTTTGATATAAATGATTGATCTTAATTTCTTTTGAGCTGTCTAGTTTCTAATTTTCAAAATGGGAGCTGTAACAGATGGTGGCACATGAGCTACAACTCTTCTCATAGAGGCCATTGTTTCTTATCCTCAAAACACTCAAAGGCATTATGACCATTTGCACTATGAAATGCTTCTTACTGATGGATTTCCTCCTCACCTTCCAAGTCGACAATTCAACAAGCACTTACTAAGCACCCACTGTGTGCCAGGCGCTGAACTAAGAAATGGAGATACAAAGCAGGCAAAAACAAAATTCCTGCCCTCAAGTAGATCACCATTTAATGGGGAAGACAACATGCAAATGTCAATGTGCATTCAAAATAGATACAGTGTAGATAGGAAGTTATCTTAGAGGAAAGAGTAAAAGAGGATGGGAAGGATTCTTGAAAAAGTTAGGATTCAAGCTGAGTCTAGAAGGAAGCCAGGGAAAGTCAATTTGGACTAGATGATTCTCCCCAAATATGAACTGAGAAGTTTTGTCTTCTTTTAGGTTGTTTTGTCTGCTCCTTTCCATATCTCCAGCTACTGAAATCAAATTTCCCCCTCCTCCTCCTCCTTCTTCTCCTTGGATTCCTTTGTCTCATTTATCTCCTTCTTATCAATATCATCATCATCATCATCATCATCATCGTCATCATCATTTTGGGCTAGGGTGGAGTAGTGATTTTCAGTGGGTCTGAATTTGTGCTTTCATTTGGTGTAAGAATCTCCCAATGAGGAAACTTTCCTTATCAATGCAGGGTGCAACTATCTCTACAATGTACAGTGAAAGGATGTTGTTAGCAATATGACTGACCTACTCAGGGTCTCTTAGCAAATAGGTGGAGTGACTTAAAGCTAGGATTTGAACCCAAGTCTTCCTGACTGCAAGACCAATTCTCTAGTCACTGCAGGTATGTGCAACAGTTCTCAAATAGTAAGCCTTGGTGGAACAGAGCCAAGATGACAAAGGAGAGGAAAACAACCCAGAAGTTCTCTCCCAACATTCTCCTCCAAACAATTTCAGGATAATGTGTCAAATCAAATTTTGGAGAGGCAAAGCCAACAAAAAAAAAATTGTGGTGAGCCATTTTTCCAGCCCAAGACAACTTAGGACGTTGGCAAGAGAGATCTGTGACACTGGGTTGGGGCTGGCCCAGAAGACATTGACAGTACCGTCAGCCATGAGCCTTGGAAGCAACTGCAACAGCAGAAGCAATAATTTCAAGAACTATGAGTCCAGAGACAGTAATGGGGTCAGACAACTGGTCAAAAAGAGATTGCAGGAGACCCTTTGCTAGCACGGGATGCAGCTGGGCCTGATTGGTTACTCTGTTGCCTAGAAGCAATAGGTTGCAATTCCAGGCAGAGTGGAGAGGAGTGCTTAGGATCCATCACAAGGGAGAAAGGACCCTGGTTCTAGCTCCAAGGAAGAGAGTAACACTAGTACTTATAGCTACAGGAGACCAGGGGGCTTGGTCCCAGTTCCAGAGCCAAGAGGAAAGCTAGCATTTGTAGCTGCAGGAGAACTGGGATCCTTTCTGGGTAAAGACCATAGCACAGACCAAGAGAACAATGACTCTACCACTCACTGGATGACACCACCTTGGAAGCACCAAAAAACTTGCAGACCCCCAGAACTAGCTCAGAAAATAGTAGCACAAAAAACATGAAGCCTGTGATAGTGCCTCTCCACCCAAAGGTAAGCAGAGCTCCACTTCAACATAAAGTTCAAAGTAAAGAAATAGGCTGGAAAAACGAGCAAACAACAACAACTAAAAGGACTTGACCATAAAAAGATACTAAGGTGTCAGGGAAGACCAAGACACCAATTCAGAAGATAACAGTGTGCACACAGCTACAACTAAAACCTCAAAGAAAAACATCACTTGGACCCAAGCCCAACAACAATTCTTGAAAAAGTTAAAGAAAAAGAAAGGAGAGGTAGAGAGAAAATGGGAAAAGAAATTAGAGTGATGCAAGAAAATTATGAAAAGAGAATTAATGACTTGGTAGAAGAGGCACAAAAAATACTAAAGAAAATAACACCTTACAAAAACAGAATTGGCCTAATGGTAAAAGAGACACAAAAACTCACTGAAGAAAAGAACTCCTTAAAAGGCAACATTGGCCAAATGGAAAAACAGTGGGTACAAAAGCTCACTGAGGAAAATAAGTCCTTAAAAACTACATTAAGCAAGTCGTAGCTAATGACTCTATGAGATGGCAAGAAGCAATAAAACAAAGTTAAAGGAATAAAATAGAAGAAAATGTGAAGTATCTCATCAGAAAAACAACTGACCGAGAAAAAAAAAGATTAAGGAGAGATAATTTAAGAATTATTGGACTATTTGTAAGCCATGACCAAAAAAAAAAATAGCCAGACATCATATTACAAGAAATTATCAAGGAAAACTGCCCCCAATATTTTAGATCCAAGGGATAAAATACATCGACAAAATCCACCAATAATCTCCTGAAAAAAATCCCAAAATGAAAACTTTCAAGAATATTATAGCCAAATTCCAGAACTCACAAGTCAAGGAAAATATATTATAAAATAAACCATTAAAACACCATGGAGCCACAGTCAGGATCACACAAGATTTAGTGACTTCCAAATTAAAGGAGCAAAGATCTTGGAATATGATATTCTGGAAGGCAAAGAAACTATGATTACAACCAATTATTGGATTTCAAGGGTCAGAAGCATAGTCACAACTCCTTTTAATCTAATATAGGGATTACTAATAACATTGAATGGAGTATAAAATTCTCTCTTCTCTCTCTCTCTCTCTCTCTCTCTCTCTCTCACACACACACACACACACACACACACACACACACATACTCATGGGCATAAATATGCAAAAATGCAAGATGTATGCCCATGCTACCACTAGCATTGGTAGCCATGTCCTATGATGGTTCTAGTAAATACAACTTTATTGGTAACCACAACCCAAAGCAATGTCTCTATACACAATCAATTTGGAGTAATCTGTTGTGGTTAAAAATCTGTGGGGATTTATAATGACATGACCAGTGATAAATAAATTTCTTAACATTAGAAGAGGCTAAGAAAGCATTACAATCCAAGTAAAGAAGTACACTCACAATAAAGAAGAAGGCATCAAAAAATTAATTACAGGAGAAAATAAAGGGGAAAAAAGTCAAATCCATCAGTAAATTGAAGCTCAAAAAAGTAATTAATTAAAAACCTAGAGAACAAGCAGACCCATCAATAAAGTGAATAATTAAATTTGGAGGAATAATTATTAAAATATCAAGATTAATAACTTTTCTAAATAATTATGTCAATACAAAGGGCATCGAATCAATGTCTGTAAAAATACTGAGCCATATGGAAACCTAAGAGAACATGGAAGCGCAGCAGATGTTCTTTGTTGCTGTTCAGTTGTTTCAGTCATGTCTGACTCTTCCTGACCCCATTTGGTATTTTTTTGATAAAGATACTAGAGTGATTTGTCATTTCCTTCTTCAGCTCATTGACAGATGAGCAACTGAGGCAAATAGGGTTATGTGACCTACCCAGGGTCACATAGCTAGTAAATGTCTAAGGCCAGTTTGAACTCAGGAAGATGAGTCTTCTTGACTCCAGAACTGGCACTCTATTTACTGTACTATCTGGCTACCCCTAATAGATGTTCTAGAATAATTCTAAAGAGAAAGAGAAATAAGAAAAGAAGTTAGCAGGGAATACATACCAGAATTTCTGGCCTGCACAACAAAAATAATTAGTAAAATAGAACAACTTAAACCTGTAATTATACTTCTGTACTTCTATAGAAGTAAAGGGAGGATGATAGATATGAAAAAATAAATGCAAAGTGAAGGAAAAATTGAAAGAAGAGAAGCAAAACGTAGTAATGTTAAAAGAACACATAATATCTGTATAAGCTAAAGTCTTTGTTCTTGAAAACAATATGTATAGAGACAATTTGAGGTTGAGAGGTCTCAGAAAAACATAACAAATCTATGAAAATGAATATCATGCAGGAAATAATACAAGATAATGACACATAATTTAGATCTAGAAAACAAAGCACCAGTCAAAGGAACCCTCAAATTGCCTTCATAAAAGGAAGAAAAAATTCAAGTAAAACAGCAAGGAAAGAAAGAATGAGGGAAAGAAAGAAAGAAGAAAAGAAAAAAAGAAGGAAAGAATTTTTAAGTTTAAAATTCACTAATCATAGTGGCTACACTTAACATTCTAGAACAAACAATAAATTCTTCAAATGGTCAGCAGAAAGACTTTAAAATGTAAGATAGAGGAAATTTGGATAATACAAGATTATTCTGCACCCACTAGAAACTGTAGGAAGGGATAGAATAATATCATATGGGAAGTAAAAGAGTTTATGATGCAAATGAAAATGTCATACCCAGCAAACCTGAGCATAGCCATCAACAAAATATGTACATACTCAATAAGAGAGACATTGGAGACACTCCCATAAAATAAACAAGGAAGAGAAAGAAAAAAAATTGAACAGAATAATCAAATTACAGATATTTAAAAATGACAAAAACACAAAAAGAGAAAATAAAACACAAAGAAAATTAAATAAACACACCTACCTAGGAAAGAATGAATAATAAAATAGATCACACCATATCTAGATGTGATTAAAACAACTATAGTAACAGAGGGATCATTAAGAGGTGTTTTTTTGAAGTATGTAGAAAATAAGGATGAAAGCAGAATTTAAAGAAAAAAGAGAGGTAGAAGTAAAAAAGTACTGGTAGAAGTCTTTGGATTACACCCCAGAATTCCCCTCTCAGGTACTTATACAACAGAACATTGAAAAAAGAAAGGAAAATCAACACCTCACAAAAATGAACTTCACCTTTTGGAGATTATGTGTTTGGCCAAGTCTTTTCAGTAGGAAATTTGTGATGCATATTCTCAGTTTAGCTTGAAATTAGGGAGTAGGGGGAAAGCTGTACAATTTATTTGAATAATTCTTTGGATTTCATGACATTCTTTTTTTTTTTTTTTGCTTAGGTAATCGGGTTTAAGTGATTTGCCCAAGGTCACACAGCTAGTAAATGTCAACAGGTCCTCCTGATTCCAAGGCCGGAGCTCTATCCACTGTATCACCTCGCTTCCCCTCATGACTTATTTCTGTGCAAGCTAACCTTGATGATTGGATTCATATTATTGTGACTGGGATGGGGAGAGGAAGGGGTTGTGATTGTCAGCAACATTCTAGAATTCAGAATGACCTTGTAGACCTCACTCAAGTTGTATGTTAAAATTTCAACTCTTTATGTTGCTTTTCTCTTCTTCAATATTCTCACGAGAAAAGTCTCCCTTCTAGCTTAAACTTGATCAAGCTTCTGAATGACTGAATGAACAGTGGCCCATGAACTCATTGGTATCCCAATATCTCAAGGTTGTTCAATGTGAATCTTTTATGTCTTTCTATCAGTTTTTTGCAAGTGAAAATAGGCGGTAAACCCAAATATATGTAAACAAGTCAAAGTAAGCCAACATGATTTTTCAGTCTCCTCACTTTAGTAAGACAATTTATGACATTTCAAGCATTAACCATTGTGTTATTTTTTTTTCCAGTAGGTATAGTGGCAATCCCACTACATCTACATGGCTGCTATTTTTTCCACATCATTGCTTTTGAATTTCCTCCTTCAGTAGCTGGTGGCCCTTGCAGCTGCTGAAGTCTGTGGGAGTTATGAGGAGGGACCAACAAATTTGGGTGGTAGGGTTTCACAGTATAGGTAAAGACAATGATCTAAGCAAGTGGAGTGGAAAAAATTCCATCAGAATGAATATAGCATCAAGTCTGTTGTCAGAAACAACAAATGCCACCATTAGTTCCTATGTTGCTGTCTCTGACAACATTAGCTATTTTCAGAGAAAGCATGTCCAGTGATTAACTCTGCTGTGTTGTGCCAAGCTAGGACTGTTTTCATCTTTCTTCAGTGACTCACACCAAATCCATCTTCTTTCAATTTGTTTCTATAAAGTCTTGACATTTTGAAGTTGACTGGGGGCTTGAGGAAAGAAAATGAAGAATTATGATCACATTAGCAAACTAGTCCTCTCATGCTGATGTGGGGGAAATGGAATCCATTCTTCTCATCTTTGGTGGGTCTCCTTGATATTTCAACCATTCATCTATCAGAAGAGGCAAATATCTCAAAGTGACTCAGCCA